CTGTGTGGCTTTTAACCCCTGAGCGGGAAAGGTTGTTATGTCTGATCCCGAATCTTAATAACAATAATCCAGTGCAAGGGTGCGTCGTATCGCGCCTCTCACCCGCGTGAACTGCAAATTACACCCCCTCGCCCGCCCTGTTTACAATCCCCCCTCCAAATACTCCCTCGGCGCGATCGATTCCCCCTGTCTCCTAACCAAGCTTGGCTTGCATGGCAGAGAGAGCCCTCCCCCATTAAAAGACACTTCCCCCCTCCGAGGATAAAGCCCCACCAGTGAAGGAAGAATCTACCGTGGGGGGGGGGGGGTAAAATAAATCCTCTTGCATTTTGTCTCTTGCATTCTCTTTTGTATTTTGTCTTGCATTAAGTAGGCGCGCGTGTGCGTGTTGCGGGGGGGGGGCGCACACACCAGATCGTGGTATTTACGTGTGTAAACACTTCAAACTTCTGTTCCAGGCAATGACGTTTAATTGAATGATTGCTGGCAGAAGACAATAAAGTAGCATTCGTCTTTCAGCAGGGAAACGGCGCTGTTTTCTCCAACACACACACATACGCACACGTACGTGTGCCGCCCTTGGCGAACGCGCCCCCCCCCCCCAAAAAAAAGCGAAGGGGAAGAAAACACTCAGTCATCAGACCTCGGGCGTGTTTACTCCCAAAGTATGTCGAAGAGAATTCGAAAAGGCCTCCCCGAGTAATTGTGTGCAGGATCGCAACCTTCCTCCCCACACGGGACTCTTTTTCTTCCTTTCCTCTGGGAAAACTTTCTCCAGAAAGTTGTTCCTTTTAGGCTTCAAATCGCTCTTTGCCGCCTCCCGTTTTCTTCCTTTCTTTATCTGAAGTGAAATGTTGCCATCAAGGGGGTCTGAAGCACCTTGGGCGGTTGAGTTTGCGGCCGAAATTTGGATGTGCGGGGAAGCGGCAAAGGGATCGCAAGCCAAGAAGCAAACCGGGCTAAGGAGGTGCGCGCAAATTCAACTCCACGCGGCGGCGGCGGCGGCGGCGGCCCGGGCTGGGGCGCAGAGCGAAGCACGAGTCCCGCTGCACCGAGTTCACGGCACTTGCTCCCACTTAAGCGGGCGCCTGAAATCACAAGCGGGGCTTGGCTGTGGAGACCAGTCCGACCTGGGAAGGCGCGCCGGGGCTCAAACAGCTGCGCGCCCCTCTCGCCTCATCCTGGAGCGCCGCGGCCGCGAGAGTTTGGCAAACAGGCGTGCGCAAGTTTATCCGCAAGGATGAAATTGACAAGACGAAAAGGGAGAGATAGAGGGAGTCAGGGAGAGAGGCAGAGGGGCGCGAAGGTGACTGCTTCCGGCCCGGAGCAGATTCATCTCTGCCGAAGGATGCCTTTAAATATTCAGTGCAAAATAATGACACCCGAAGCCCGTGTTATTATCTTCATTTTTCAACACCTTCCCAAGCTGATGGCTCCGTTTATCTTTTGATCAAACTCTTACTGTATCTAAGACTGCTGGAGGAAAAAGACAGAGTTGAGGAGGGAAAAATACATGACTGATTAGAGAGAGAGCAGCCAACTCTGGACCACGTTCCAGGTTTTGCGAGGCGTGTTTCGTCTTCATTCTCTTTGGCAAACGGTGGGGAATGGGGTTCTTTTAATGACCAGGAGGTAAAGGTGGGGGCCTGAGTTTCGCAAGGGAGACGGGCATTCGCTCGCTCGCCCGCCCGCTCGCTCGCCGGCTCATTTGAAATTGAAATGAGTTGTGTTTGATCAGCCTCTCGCTTTTACGGAGTTTGTTAATATTGATACCGCAGGGAAAGGAGCCCTTCCAATCACAAGAGTAAATAAGCCAGAGGCGGGGGTAGGAAAGAGGAGGAGGAAAGGAAGCGGGGGAGATGTGAGGATGGGCCAACACGCGGGCAGGAGGCCGCGGGCCGTTCCGAAGGTTTTCCCACGAGGGTCCGGCGGTGCTGCCAAAGGCGAAAGGAAAGAGATTTCGGAGCAGAGCAGAACTAGGATTGCACTTTATGTTACTTGATTTTTAAAATGCGAAGGGTTGCCTGTGGGACGGAGGGGAGAGAGGGTCCCAGCTGGGAGGCGCCGCTCTCGATTTGGCCTCCCGCCTCCGAGGTCCAAACCGGTTCCGAAGTGGCGCGCGCAGAGGGCGCGGCTGCCCACGCGTGAGCGGGAGCGAGGGCCGGAGCAGAGGAAGGGCCCCAAAGCGTGAGCGTGCGCGCACAGAGGCGCGGCGGGGGTCGCGAGGCGCTGCTGGGCAGACAAGACAAGACAGGCCAAATCCGAATCGAGAAGCTGGAAGTAGCAACTCCTAAGCACAGTCACTCCAGATCGGCGTGAACGCCGAGAGATACATTCACTCCAGCATCACAGCGCTGTGGGACGACTTCGCTGCGCACCTGTTACGCGTCGCCAGATGCCCGCCCGCCGCACGGAACAGACACCGGGTTTCCTCACTTGACTGGGCTGCAGGATCCCTTCCGAACCCTGAGAAGAATCCGTTAGTTCTTTTCGCCCCGCTGTTTCACCGAGCGCCAGAAGGGCTTGCTCAGGGCTGAAGGCTTTGGGGATCGCGATGGTTTGACCGTCCGTTCCTCTGGGGAGAGAGTTGGAGTCACGAAAATGAGGGCGCAGCGCGCGCCCTGAAACACACACCGAAGTTAAGCAACAACTATAACAAAGACACAAGAAATCAGCCCGTCGCAAGGGTGGCGAGGAAGCCGGGTCGGGGAAGGGCCGAGCCGGGAAAGGGATGGGGGAGAAAAAGCAACAGCCCCCCCCTCCTCAAGATACAACCAAATCTCCTTGCGCCCACCGACGCAAAATCATATGGAATAATCCCGCTCCGCGCGCGCATGCCCTTCAATTTATTTCACTTAAAATTGCAAAGATAACGCGATCCTTACTGGACAAGAAAAGAAAAGAAAGAGAGAAAAGGTGGGAGAAAAGCGAGAGAAAAGAGTGGGTAACTGGTGAAAGAGAAGAACTTAGGTTAAGAGAAAAATAAATATCGTGAATGGGAAGGGAGGGAGGAAAGATGAAACTTAGTTAATAAGCGAAAGAAAGAAACTGAGTTAACGGGCCAGGAAAAGCAAGGAAGAAACTGAGTTAACCGACCAAGAAGTTGCGGGCGAGGGAAGAAAGGTGAAGCACAAGGAAAGGGGCAGGAAGGAGCGACAGCAAAACCCCGCCGCCCCCCCACCATGGAAATTGCTCCGCAGCTGAGCGAGGGCTTTTCTCACTCCAGGCCCCGCCCCCGCGCTGGCCCCGCCCCCGGCCCCGCGGCTCGGCCCGGGAGGCGCGCTCGGCCCTTTCCGCCACCCAGCCTCGGCCAGCCCTCTCGCCGGGGAGACTGACTCAGCGCGCAGCGAACCGGGGCCGCCGCTGCTTTGCGAGCAGCCCGCCCACCTCGCCCGATCGGGACGCGGCAGCGCGGCGCAAAAGTTTGCAGCGCTCGTCCCGGGAACGCGCGGGGCTCCAACCAGGATCGAAAACCAAGCCGGGGGCAGCGCGCGCTGCCGCTTTTCGGCACCCTTCTGGTGCCGTGATGGATGGAGCGCAAGGGAGGACGACGGACGCGCGCAGCGGGAGGAGCGTGCGAACAGCAACAGCAGTTCCTAGAAATGTAACCCTAGAAAGACCCCACAACCTGGGCTTCCCTATTTGGATTTTGTGGTATTGTTTAAAGCCTCCGGCAGACTCGCGAGAGGCCGCCGCTTTGCGGTGCGGATGCCCCCGCCAAGCTGATCCGAAACTTTCAGCTGACCACCTGCGCTCCCTGCCCACTCACTCCAGCCGGCGGGCGAGGGCAGCGCGCCCCTGGTCGCCCCCCCCATCCATGCCCCCCCCGGCCCCGCCCCCCCCCCCACTGGGCAGGCTTCCATTTCTGCAGTCGATCGCTCCCCCCACCCCCATGTCCCGAGCGTGTGAACTTGCAAGTCAGCCCGGCTGCATCCCCGGGCCTTCCGCTTCCCTGCCAAGCCAGGTGCCCAGGAGCGCGGGCACGGAGGGGTCTTCGATGCGCACCTTCATCACATTTCCCTGATCTGCAATCCCCCTCTCCCGTCCCTTCCTTTCCACTTTGGATCGTCTTTTGATGCCCCACTCGGGGAGGAGAGCAAAGAGAAGCTCTGGCGGACTTCAGCGGTCCAGGACAGGATTCCTCGGAACCGAGTCTCCCGCCACGCACCCTTCAACGCGATAGGATGACTCCGAGTAAATGTGCATAGGGTAGGGGGCGACTGGGCAGAGAGGGGGCAGGAAGAGGGACCCCTCCCCCGCCAACAGAGGCTGCTATTGCGCCCCTGAAAGGATTGCGTTTCCTTCCCGGTTCCTCGAAAACGTGGGGACGCACCAGCTGAGAAACGTGCTGAGGTTTGACCCGGCCCCCAAAAAGCAAGGAGGAGGAAGCGAGAGGGCTCGATAGCCGACCGGCCTGACGGTATCTCGGCGCTAGCCCATCTTACAAGAAAGTAAAGAAAAGCCAGCAAATACACATGGGGGGCTGCTGAGCGGGGAAGCAAGAGTCGGAGGGGGCAGCCCCAGCCCCAGCCAGGAGGAAGGGAAGTTTGGGGTCTTTTTTCTCGGAGGAGCATTCCTATAGTAACCGGCCCGGCGTGCAGCAGCCCCAGCTGGTTGCTAAGAGGGTTAAAAAACTGTATCCAAACAGCCTCGGCGGCGGCGGCGGAGAGGCGGCGGGCGGGACTCCAGCCCCACGGGCCGGCTCATTGGGCGCGGGCGCCGGAGAGACAAGGGTCTGCAGCAAATCAGCAGCTAATTGATTAAGGCGAGCGGGCTTGAATAGAGCTGGCCCGGTGCCAATCGCCTTTCAAAGAGCCCCCTGTATGATTAATCGCAATGCATTATTGATCATCAGAATTATACCGAGGCACATGCGCGCTGCGCGAAGGATCGGGCAGGCAGGAGGAGGAGGAGGAGGAGGAGGAGAGGCGGAGGGAGGGAGGGGAAGAGCCAGGAGGAGGAGGAGGAGGAGGAGGAGAAGGAGGAGGGGGGCCAGGCTCGATTTCCGTAATTTTGAGAAGATTTTTTTTTCGTAATTTTTTATTCTGCCCCAGCTGATGTTTGAGCCAGGATGTCGCGGAGGAAACAAGCGAAGCCTCAGCATTTCCAATCCGACCCCGAGCTGGCCTCGAGATCTCAGCGCAATGGTGAGGGGGGTGGGGTGGGGGGTGGACCTGCGTGGTGGTCTTGGGGGTGGGGGGATGCTTCTCATCCTTCTCCTTCTTACTCTGAATATTGAAAATATAGATCGAGGTCTCCGTCCGCTGCTCGCGATCTCTCACTTTGGAAACATTTAGCAGCTTCCCACCCCCTGCTCTTTTTGGCTTGCTTTTGGTTTGTTTGTTTGTTTGTTTGTTCAGATCTTTAACCCGCCCGCCCCGCAACAAATGGAACCAACTTACCTTCAGGGTTAAAGAGGAAAGAGGGATGGAAAGAGAGAGAGAGAGAGGGAGAGAATGACGCTTTTGGAGAGAGGGAGAGAAAGTTGATCATCTGGAATACCGCGTCTTGTTGAGGGTTCAATTCCGGCGTGGTTCTTATTGGTTTCTTTCCTTTTCTCTCCCCCCCCCCCACCTCCCGTCCCCCAACTAAGCCTCTCATTGCCTCTGTGGATCTTTTCCCCGCCGGATCTTTTTCGATCTGGCAAGCGGAGACCGGATCTGTCTCAATTAACCGCGCCCCCTCCCTCAACACACACAAACACGCACACACTCACTCCACGCACGCACGTTTCTCGGAAGCTCGCCTGGTTGTGTGTTTGAAAGGCGGCAGTTCCCTGGAGCTTTCTGCGGTCGCCCCCCCCCCCCGACGCCCGCCCGGGCGCAGCCACCCGGGCCTAACGCGGCAAGCAAAGAGCTCAGCCCCGACCCGTGCCGTGGCCGGTCTCTCCGCGCGCTCCCCTGTACTTCGTGGCCGCAGGCGCTGCGCTGGAGCGCTCCAACTTTTCCCTCGTTCTTTGCCCCCTCTCTCCCCGCCACCAGATCCTTAAATTTTAAGAGAGGGGACGGGGAGGGAGGGGGGGAGTGGCGGGGTCAGACACCCCGTTCTCCGGCTCTGGAGAAAAGCGCCTCCTTGGCTCTCGGATGGGTCTGATGGGTGAGTGAGATCTTCTTTTCTATCCAGTGCGATCGCTCCTTTTTCGCGTCCCCCCCCCTCGCCCCCTTACTCCCGTGGTTTAGCCTGGCAGCCCCTGCTTCCTGAAAGTTTCCCAGCTGGCCAGCCCAGCTGGCCTCCTCTCCCATCGTCCATCCTTAGTAGTAGCGGTGTTGTTATTTCGAATTCTCCTTCAGTTGTTGCCGGTTTCTGCTGGGTTGGCCCTTTCATTCTCCCTTTATGAAGGGAACAGTGGAGTGGTTGGGAGAAGCAAGATCCCGAGCGCGGCGCCTTGGCGCTCTCGGGGAGCCCGAGCGGTCGTGGGAAAGTGATCCCCCCCGAGCCCTTCTGAGGAGTGGGGGACACAGGTTGGCGAGCGGGTTGCTGGTGGCCTGCCTTCGCTCCTGGGCCAACTCAGGGAGCACCGGGACGGGCCTTCTACCTGTGCGAACGCAGATAATGGGTGAGTCTGAAATCTGGGGAGAAGCGGGGGAAGCAAGTGGAGAGGCCCCTATTCCCGAGCGGGCTTCGGCGAAAAGGGGGGTGGGGAGGAGAGGGGGGAGGGCCAGGATCGTGCAGTAGCCCCACACAGAGCGCCCATCCCCCTCCAGCCAATTTCACCAATTTCAAGGGAAATGGATCAACCACTTTCGCCAGAGAAGGAGAAGCGCCTCTCCAGCCCCGCAGTTGATGGACGGTTCATTTTGGGAGGCGCGCGCGTGGGATAATGCCATAGTTTTGGATGGTCGGCCATAGGTGAAGAGTTTTTCATTCCAGAGGAATACGAGCAGGGGAGAGGGAGAAAGCGACCAAGAAACGAAAATGAATGAATTAATTTAGCCTGACCCGCCCTGCTGACCCTCTGCTGGAAAGATCGAAAGCTGAGGATGAGCACTTCTCGACTGCTTTACTCAGGAGGAGCAGTTCCCACGAAGTTTGCTGCACTTCTGTAAACGTGCTTAGCATCGTCCACTCTTCCATTTCCCTTAACAAAAATCGCTTTTTAGCAAGGGAGCTCCCATGTATGTGTGCGCGCAAGAGAGAGAGAAAGTGAGTCTGGCCGATCATGGTGTTTGGGGACATAACCTGCACATGTGTGTCAGGCTGGGGTTGTTTAACTGGTTTTTTTGGGGGGTGGGGAGGGATATTGAGCAACAGGGAGGGGCAGCCATGCAGTATATCTCAACCATTCTTTTGAGCAATAGCGGTACCTCCTAGGCCGTGCGCCAGCCTTTCCAAATGGGCGACACCACGGGCGAGTTTGCGCCTAGTGAATACCCAAAATCGCCGCCTTCGCAGCCAGGACGTGGCCCTTCCTTGCCCTCTGATTTCGGCCCCAAGCAGCCCTCCTCCTCCCTTGGCTTTCACAGCGCCTCCTGCCCACCCCCCGCCCACCCCAAGCGCCTCCATCGGCACACCTCCCACGAACACCGCGCAAAAAGGAACCCGTGTCTGCCTGTCCCGAGCAGTTTCTTTGGCCAGGAAGTTGGTGGGCAAGCAAGTCCGTCTGGCTGGAGTAACCCACTTAACCCCCCCCCCCAAGCTTAGTCTTTCAAGTAGCAGCCAACAACGCCCCCCCCCCGCCCCCCGCTGCATCACACAGTTCCCAAGGAGCCAGGAGGGTGGGTGGGATGGGGGACTCCAAAGGAGCGCTTGAATCCACCCTTTTGATGCCACCTCTTTCGGGTTGTCCCTCATCCCATGTGCTATCCGATCGCCTCCCTTCCTTCCCCCCTTCAAGCCCAGGAGAAGGCTTAGAAAAGTTTGGGGACAATAATCTGAACCACCAAAAGAAGCAGCCTAACAAGTAAAAGCTTCTATCGAAATATCTCTTGCTAACTTTATTCTCTCCCCCGCGGACATTTTAAAAAAATTTCCTATAGTTTTCTAAATCCTTGACAGATATTACATGGTTGTAAAAGAACGATTGCAATTGTTATAAAAGAATAATTTCAAAGTCTATTTTCTTTATGCTGGTGTCTTTCCAATCTATGCTGTAAAATCTTTTCCTAGAAATGTTCTTTCCATATATAATAGCCTACAAACGCTTATACATCCATTGATTATAATGAGCTGCCCCCAAGCACCAGCTGAAAATTCAGTAACACATTTCAGAATATTTTCCTTTGGTGGTTGCATTGTGTCACCAGAAGCCTTCTAATAAAAGAATTCAATTACTCCAAACCAAGAACAGGGGAAAGCAATACCTCTACCATTTTTTGGGGGGGAGTCTGCTTCCCCCCATCTCATTTCTGAAAAAGATTCTCTTTTCTGTGTCCTTCTGATAGGTTACACATCTTCAATTTGTTAACCAAAATCTATCCATCCACCCACACACTCTGTACAGTTTGGTTTTGGTATCTATTTTTGCACATCACGCCCAAAAACAGTCCAAACAAATTCTTTTTTCTAAACAGTTTTCTGGCCTGTTGCAAACCTGAACTGCAGATTTTATCAGAACACAATAAGAGCAAGGCTGTTTTGACCACTAGCTTACTTGAATTAACTAAATGATGCAAGCCAGCTCTCCCCCAACACCCCCCCCTTTTGCCAGTTCATTGTTCTTGAAAAATCAGTCAACTTAACGCTATCTGAACCCCCCCCCCAGTAATGGATTTAGGTTATTACTCTCTTACATGCTTGGACAATAAGGTTTACTAAGTTGGCCGGAGGCGATGCTTTTTAATAGTGCTAACAGGGTTGAGAATGTTGTAAAAATATTGGTACACAACAAACCTGCTAAAAGCTCTCAATCAGGACAGTTTCCTTTCCTATTTAATCTCCGTGTTGGGAACTTTTATATGTCCCAGAAATGTATATAGATATACTGTGTATCTGTTTGTGAATACTGGGATGAGATTAGGTAGTGTAATTAAAAGCCCCAAAAACTACAGTGTTTCCTATTATCTTAATTTATCCATTGCTGTGAAAATATTGCCTTAGCAATAAGGAGTCTGAAAATTGCTGATTTGGGATTTATTCGGTTATATATTTTAGTCTATCTAATCTGTTCAAAAACTCTGGTTGATGGATTTTCTGGGCCTGCAAATGACTTAAAAGGATCTCTTACCTATTTCTGATGTAACTTTCTCTCCAAGAGAGAACTTTTCCTATCAACCAAATGTTTTTACTCTTCCGGGAAGTAAAGAAAGTTGGACTTTATCCTATTCTGCTCTGTTGTGCGGCTGAAAGTTGAGGGTTGGCTTTAGTGGAAATAGTATAGCAGCTCCAAGCATAAACTGTGTTCAACAAGTCCTTTGCTAGTGGGAGAGATAAACAGCACTAGAAAACTGTCTTGGGAAATCGTGGTTGCAGTTCTGTACTCATTTACCTGGAAGTAAGCCCCGTTGAACTCAATGGGACTTACTTTTGAGTAGGCATGTGTAGGATTCTGCAGTCCTCCAGAATTTTAGCTACATCTTGATCTAGTTGCATCTGTTAAAAAATAATAATTGCAGCTTGTTAAAGGTTAATGGCCTAATCTTAGCACCAGTACATATTTCTGGAGCAGAGTTATTCAATCCACTGAACAGATTGCAACAGTAGTTACAATGTTTGAGGGAGGATAAGGTGCAAATAATTCCCCATTGAAAAGGAAAAAGCAACTCTGCTGAGATTTAATATTGAAATACCTATCTATTCTGACTTTCTATATCGTTGCCATGTATTGTCCACTTTAGAATTATGCTTTCAATTTACACCTTGAAGTCAGGGTGGTTTTGCTCTTTTTATTTTATGTTATTTTATTTTTTGGCATGGGAGGTTGTATCTCACAGAGGAAGAGATATTTCTTCGACAGACTAATCTATAGTATTCTTGGAAGTTTATGTGCTTGATACGGAGGTGTGATTTAGCAGATATATCAGGACAGAGTAAGTCTATTAGCAATCTTCAATCCCTTTACTTGGAAGTACATTTGTTTTAAATGGATCAGCTTGGCTTGCATATCACTGTGTTTTTAAGACTGGGGTGGGGGTCCTTCAGTTGCAGCTATACACTTGATGGAAAGTAATTGGGGAGGGGGGAAATTAACTTGTCTTCCTTAAATACTCTA